AATTATTTGTTGATTGTTTTTGAGACTGGTTTCCCTATGTAGCTTTAGCTGGCCTACCACTCCTAACTGAAACTCATAGAAATCCATTTGTCTCACTCTGCCACCTGAGTGCTAGGATTAAGGTGTGTGCCACCACACCTGGCTCCAAACCATCTTTTTTAATGTGGGTTCTGGGAATCAAACTCAAGTCCTCATGGGTGGTGAAATTTTATTTGTGCTGAAATGTGGTGATACTGTGTCCTCCAATATATTGTACATCTTAATAAACTTAACTGGGGTCAGAGAACAGAACAGCCACTAGATAGACATATAGGCCAGAAAATGGTGGCGCACACACACCTTTAATCCTAGCATTCTGGAGGCAGAGATCCATTCACCCATTGGGATTTCTGTGAGTTAAAAGCCACACTGGAAACAGCCAGGCATGGTGACACACACCTTTAATCCCAGAAAGTGATGGCAGGAAGCAGAAAGGTATATAATGTGTGAAAACTAGGAACTAGAGTCCTGTTAAGCTTTTAGGCTTTTGAGCAGCAGTTCAGCTGAGATCCATTCGGATGAGGACACAGAGGCTTCCAGTTTGAGGAAACAGGATCAGCTGAGGAACTGGCGAAGTGAGGTTAGCTGTGGCTTGTTTGTTTCTCTGATCTTTCAGCATTCACTCCAATACGTGGCTCCGGGTTTGTTTTTATTAATAAGACCTTTTAAGATTCATGTTACACTCATGCTTTGACTTCAACATCTAAGCAATCTCCCCTCAAATACTGTGTTTTCAAGAATATTCTCATCCAACCTAATCACACACGTTATGTGTTTTTCCCCTCTTCCTAAAGGATTCCAAATATTCAAAGAATATGAAGTGAGGTCCTAAGGCAATAGAAGAATCAACCAGCCTGGTGGCTTGGGTCTGTAGCCACAACTACTCAGGAACTTGAGACAGGAGGATCCCAAGTTCAATGCATGTTTGGGCTATAGAGTGGGTTGAAGGCAAGTCTGGGTAACTTAGTGAGAACCTATCTCCAAGTTTATAAAAGTGAAAAGAGAGGGCTGGGTATATAGTCCAGGGATATATTCCTCACCTAACACACATGAGGTCTCAGGCATGATCTTCAACAATGGGTATATGAACCCCTCTCCAGCTCCTCTGACTTTACTGTAACACTCATTGAATATTTCTCAAACTGGGTGTGTTAATTAGCTTCCCATTGCTGTGATCAAATGCCTGTAAACAAAGGAGGAATTATTAATTTTAGTTGATCATTTCAGAAGTTTCAGTCCATGGTCACTAGGCTGTATTGACTTTGAGCCTGTGGGGACTGGAAGGTGATCATCATGATAGAGAGGGCATGATTGAGCAAAACTGATCACCTTACTGAAACCAGGAAGGGCATGGGAAGAAACAAGACATAATCTTCAAGAATGTGTTCCCAGTGACCTAGTTCCTCCAGCTAGGCTCTAGTCTAAAAATGTCCATTATTTCTTAACAGTTCCTTCAGTTGCCAGTGCACTAAGGGATTAATCCACTGATAATACCATAATGCTTATGATATCATGACCCCAGGCTCAAGCTCTAACTCCTGCTGTGTTCCTGCATTGGGGACCAAGCCTTCAACACATGACCTTTGAAGCTTATTTCCTGTCCAAACCATGAGCAATGAGGAAAAAGAATTTCCTTATATATTTCTTTAAGATTTTAAAAACTCAGTCTATTGGTTAGATTATTCTACCACTTTGTTTCTTTTCTCATCACCCATAATACATAAAATACATAAAACTGATTACAAAACTACTACAATGTAATAGTTGAAGAAAACCTCTGAAATCATGCCAAAGGTTCAACATGTACAGTGCAATCTTATGTAATTATTAAAAAAAAAGCAATTATTTATTTTCTAAATTCCTATATTGTTCATCTCTACTTATCTTTTGAACCTTATACTCACATTCTTGGTACTGTTGGTTGGACCAGAATGAGATTCTGATACAAAAGCAGATATATAAATCTAAATCAAGCAATCCATAGCAAAGGCCAATTCAAAAAGATTGCAGGACTTTCCAAATTAGTCCTCTAGAAAGTTCAATTAAAATAGAGGGCATCTACCAATTGGGACTAAGGTTGAAGGGATATGAAAAGCTGAAGAATCCCCAGAAAGGAAACTATTACCATGAAGTACTGAAAAACTCAAAGGCTAGTAATCCAGTTAGAAGTTATAGATTACTGCTGAGTTTCTCTGAAATATTAGAGTCTAGAACTATCTTCCTTCCAACTTTCAAAGATAACACACAGCTAAAGGTCTGTTCATGAGCTACTAAGTTTTATTTCCCTTCTAGCTCTACAACCCTTGTCCTTTTTTCTAGCATTGTTTTGATAAAATAAAAACAAACATGTACATTAAAATATTTCAAACTAGGCATGTTAATGCATGCCTGAAATCATAGCATGTAGGAAGCCCAGGCAAAAGGTAAGTTCAAGATCAGCCTAGTGCTACATCACATCTCAGACACTTTCCTCAGCAATGGAGAAATACTACTAGTCCAAAGCCAGCATGAGGCTACATCATATCTCAAACACTGTCCTTACCATAGAGGAAAGACCATTAGTACAAGGCTAATCTGGATTACTTATATCTTTTCAGTTTAGCCTGTGGTGGATAGCAAGACCCATCTTCAAAATCTCCAGTCACAGGTCTTGAGAAAATGCTCCTACTTTTTTTTTTTTTTAAAGATTTTAAGTTGTTGTGTGAATAAGTGTTTGCCTGCATTTATATATCTGTATCACATGTGTGCCTGGTTGTTAGTGGCAGCCAGAAAGTGTCAGATCCCCAGAACTGTGACCTGCCATGTGGATACTAGGAACTGAATCCAGGTCCTCTACAAGAGCAGCCAGTTCTTCATGGCTAAGCCATTTCTCCAGTGTGCCTCCCTCCTCATCTTGATGGGAAAAGCTACAGGGTCATTTAGTTTACAGAGGCTTCTGATGGAAAAATAATCTGCTGTAAACCATTTCAAACAGTTGTATCTGGAATAACACCTACAGGAGCCATCCTGCAGGAGTAATAATTGAGCAATACACAGCTGTCATTGTTGCGTAGCTTCATGATGTCCATCCAGTATTCAGAGTGGCTGGCTGGTTGGCTGGTTGGCCTCAAAAAAAAAAAAAAAAAAGAAAAAGAAAAGAAAAGAAAAAGTTCCAGAAATGGGAAATCACTATTACAAAACAGAAAGAAAAGCGAGCCCGTGTGCTTGTTTATCAAAAACTAACCAGAGCTGGGGAAATGGCTCAGTCGGTAGGTAAAGTGCTTGCCATGCAAGGATAATGATCTCAGTTTGAATCCCCAAAATCCACATAAAAACTGGGCCTTGGGGGGTGGAAGGAGGGAGGACAGGGGAATCTGTGGTTGGTATCAAAAATGAATAGAAAATCTCTTAATAAAAAAATAATAAAAGTTTGAGACAATTAAAAATGAAAAAAAACCAAAACAAAACAAAACAAAAAAACAAAACCAACTGGGCCTGGAAGTGTACCTGTGATCCCATTGTTGGGGAGGCTAGGATTGGCTGAACTCTGGACCTTGCTAGCTAGCCAGTCTAACCAATAATCCAGCTCCAGGCTCAGTGAGAGACACTATCTCAAAAAATAAGGTACAGAGCCTTATTTTATTTTATTTAATTTTTTTGAGGAAGACCTGTCATCAACTGACCTCCACATATAAATGCACACACACACACACACACACGCACACGCACACGCACACGCACACGCACATGCACACAAATGACTGTGATCACCTGGAAGCTACTGAAAATACTTGTTTGCCTACTAATTTGTCACATAAAACGTTCTTCATACATTTTACCTAATACAACACACACAGCTGTGTCCAGAGTGTCTAGAGACCAACAAGTTTGAGAACTGGTGCACCGCACTGCTTAGCTGACAACTTCAGAATATTGAATTCCACAGGCATTGGATTGGAAAGAGGGTTGGGTAAAGTGTGAAAGCATAAAGAACTGAGCTCAAATTCCTAGCACCCATGTATAAAGTCAGGCATATCAATGGTATCTATGATCCCAAACTGGGGAGCAGAGGCATGAGGATTTGTTGGCTATTCAATCTCAGCTAAATCAATAAGCTCCAAAATCAATGATACCCTCTCTCAAAAAATAAGATGGAGGGGCTAGCGAGATGGCTTAATGGGTAAAGGCACCTGCCCCCAAGCCTGAAGACCTGGACGTGTTACTACTCAGAACCCACGTGGTGGAAGGAGAGATAGGACTCTCTTAACTGTCCTCCACCAGAGCACTGTGGTACGCCCATTCACATGCAAAATAAATAAACCTGTAATTTTTAAAATGTTAATTAAAAAAAGTGAGAGGAAGACATCATGTACCTGAACACACACATGCATATAATGCATACACTACAATACACATCACAAAAAATAAACGAATTGATGTAATAGATGAACTTTCGACCAATTTCATCACATCTCATTTACACGAACCTCACATATCCTGTAGTGAAAGACTTCTAACATATAACCTTGCTTCACTAAATTTATTAAGAATGGATTGTCACATGATGGTTTGATGACTATCAAATTAATCCAGTCCAAACGTTGGTTCCCCAACCTGCCTCAACTTCATTTAACTTTGCTGAACAATTTATTCCACATTGCAAAGCACGTTGGGAATTAGCGCTGCTGCAAATGTACAGAATTTTCTTACTGGAATAACATGTTGGGGAAGCAGGGTTAAATCTTCTAAACCAATACATTAACAGTGATTTCTTGCTTTTTCTTAACTTTCATCAAGTTCATCCAACTGGAGTTTCATTCCGCCCTCTAGGACTGATTCTAAAGGACAGAATATCGGGCAGTGATCTCTGGGAAGAAAAGCAGTGGCGTCCCTGTGAAAAGACTGCACTCCCTAGAGCTCCCGTCTCAAGGCGTCTGACGTCATCACGCACACACACCCAAGTCAGGTCAGGGGCCCGCCCTGGCCTTGCCGCCAGCTGATTGGCGAGCCCGCATGGTCGAAGGTGCCATTGGCTGGTGGCCGATTGGGCCGCACCATCTTTAAGGCACCTTCCCAGTAGAGAAGCTTCCCTTCCACGAGGCAGCTAGGCGTGCTGACAGTCCCAGCTGTGCACCGGGAGTCGCCAACACCCTCGTTCGCGGTCCAGTTCGGCAGCCGTTTCTTGAAACCTCCAGAGACTTTTCCAGAGCCACGCGCCAGGGAGGTGGCACCACCGCGCGCCTGCCTGGCGCGGTCGTGACGTCAGGCTTACGCTAGTGGCGATTGGCTGAGGAAATGTGGCGCGGACGGGCGCTGGCGCGAGTGATTGGACATGCCGTTAGGGGGCGGTGTCTGAAGGCGGGGCTTGCTGCGAAGAGCGTTGAAATACGGGGCACCTCAGCACTTCAAGGCGCTTCTAGCCGGAGTCTCTGGTAAGAGTCACTTTGTTGAGGGATGGCGCGGGGGACCAGGAGGTGCTGGGTGGCAGGCTGAGGCTGAGGTGACGCGGTTTCCCAGCTTGGCTCGCCATGGTGGGCATTTGACGTTCGGTCCGCCTGGGACTGTTGCTCCCCTTGGGCTGGGTACTGGTTCTGGGGCGGGTTGGGTGATGGGCTGCATCCCAGTGGCAGAGCTTCGGATCCAACGGGCTGTCTGTCGGTGGAGACGCCCTGAGAAGCGATCCAGTAGTCCGAGAAATGCTGCGGTTCATAGACCTTGGGGAGCTGAGTTATAAAAAAGGAACTGACTTGACTTAAGAAAATCTAGTCTTTGCTCCATTATGGAGCACCTCACTTGTCTGGCTGCTTGCTTCTAGTTTTAGAGAGGATTTGCAGGTATTGTGGTTGTTAAATGTCCCGGTGAATTTTATAAAGAAATGGAGACGCCTCTCCTATATGTTCCTGGATCTTTTTCTTGAGTTAGGTGATGTGTATTTTCCACACCTTATCTTTAAATGGGTAAGAAAATGAAGTTGATTCTTAATATCCTGGCATTATGAGTTAAAGACTTTTTTTTTCAAAAAGTTTAGTAATTCCACAAGAATGAAATCAACCTTAGAATTTTAAATTAGCCTATGAATGTCGAAAATATACCCTGTCAGTTGAAGTACATTTTCACTTCTTACAGTGCTTGTCCTTTCCTGTAATCATTAACCTCATTGCTGTTTTTTGAGGTTGTTGTTGTGGTGGTGGTTTTTTTTGGGGGGGTGTGTGTTTTTTTTTGTACTCAGTATTTTAGCCTTATTGTCATCAGTGGTATTCCCCTGTCTCCCGATTAGTTCATTCTGTACTCTATTTAGTTTTAGAAAGTTGTATTAGCCATTCAAAGGTATGTTTTAACTCCAGTAATCTGTATATTTGAAAGTAGATTACATAGAATCTTCAAAATAAATTGTGGGAAAACTTATTTTAAAAAACCGAGAGGATATGTAAGGACTCTTACAAAGATTAGAAAAGTTAGAAATTGCTGGATAGAGATGTGCAAAAGATGTTACAATACAGAAAGTGGTCTAAATTTACACTTAAGTTGAGAAAATTAGGTGTCTGCACTAAGGTCAGGATGTATGAAGTATAACCTAATAATTGATTGTAAGAAAAAAAATCATTTTGTGACATGGGGATTAAGTGAAATTTATATTTTAGTGTCCATAAATAAAAGACTGACTGGAACACAGCTGCACCTAGTTCCACATTGTCTAGTTTAGGCATTGTCTAATTCTTGCACTTATAAAAGCAGAATTGACAGTATAATAATTCACTGTTCAGAAAAAAAAATTCCAGGAACTGCTCTAAAGCATCCACTTGAATATAGTGAATAAAGTTTTTGCCTCTTCATCAAAAATATTATCTATATATTGCCCTTAGGAGAATTGACAGAATTGTTGCATAAGTCTTTTCTAACTAGGAGCCCAGGTTAAAAATTGGATAAAATCTTATGGGACATTGTTTAAATGTTTGTGAATTGAACTTTGAAACCTAGATTTCAATTAACATTGGTGTGTGGCATTCTTTACCAATCATGTTGAGGATGCAAATGGCAAAAACACTTGGAATGATTTTAGGAACATGTAATAAAGAATTGAGAAACTGTTGTGGAAAAATAGGATGAAAAATTAGGTTGGAGCCAGATCACGAGTAGAAAAATATATAAAGAAAAATACACAAAAGGAGGAGTTGATTTTCCAATGCTACAAGAGGTGTCAGCTCAGTAATTTGAATAGAACATTGAGTTTGGCACTTTAGAGCAACTGTTATAAAAGGCTAGGTATGATTGTCATAGGAGAAATGATGGTCCAAGTAGGGTTGAGTATTTGAGTATTTGAGTTGAGTATTTGGCCAGTGGCATCCTTGGAGAAACCCACAGGGTTGGAGTGGTGAGGCTGCAGATGGGAACAATAGGCATAATTAATTATAAGCTTAATGGCTGAATTAGCTCCTCAGCTCAAATCTAGATATGCTTCTCTATATGTATATGCCATTTAGAAAACTATAATATGATGACCTTTTTCAATATTAGTGTTCTAGGTCAGATCAGACATTCTGTCACAATGCCAGAAATAAATACCAGCCATCTTGATGAACAACAAGTTCAACTTCTAGCAGAGATGTGTATTCTTATTGATGAAAATGACAATAAAATTGGGGCTGACACCAAGAAAAACTGTCACCTGAATGAAAACATTGACAAAGGTACTGTTTTAAAATATTTTTTACAAAGTGATCTGTGTAGACATTTCCAGTTAGCTGACAAAAATATTGGGATAAAAGGAATGCTTTTTTCTTTTGGGGGTGAAGAGAGTCTTACTGTGTAGCTTTGGCTACTATTCCTGAAAGAGCATTTGGCCTGCATCAAAACTGCCAACACTGCCAAGTGAAAAGGAGTTTCACTTGGTGACTAGTCTTGCTGTTTTGCTGGAACTATTCTCCATAACAGCCATGCAGAAATTCCTGTTAGAAGACTGGAAAATAGCAGAACTGTCAACAGGTTGCTAGTCATATTCTCAACTGCAAGAGGGGAAATTGGACAAATAACTGGCATTTTCTGACCAATCATACTTATTTTGCTTTTAGGATTATTACATCGAGCTTTTAGTGTCTTCTTATTTAATAGTGAAAATAAGCTCCTGTTACAGCAGAGATCAGATGCTAAAATTACCTTTCCAGGTTAGTATACTTAACGCACAAGGTAGATTCTACTGGGAACTATATTAATCTGATTGAACTTCTTGGAGCCAAGGTCCAAAAGGAATAGCTTGGTAAATGGCTTCATTTATATTTTACATTAAATAAGTTTATCCAATGAATATAACCTTACTATCTGAATTATCTCTGTGTTTTTATCTTCTTGGTTTAAGACAGCATTAAGATTATCCATAACTATCTTTCAGAAAATAATACTGGGAGCCCATTGTAACTGACTTAAAACTCTGTTTATCTGATTACTTATAAAACTTTCCCTTGATCTTGCAAACCTGATTTGAAGAACAGTTCATCTTTGTTCATATTAATATTTTCCAGGTTGTTTCACCAATAGTTGCTGTAGTCATCCATTAAGTAATCCAGGTGAGCTTGAAGAAAACAACGCCATTGGTGTAAAACGAGCTGCACAGAGGCGCTTAAAAGCTGAATTGGGAATTCCCTTAGAAGAGGTAATCAGTCTCCTTAGATAGCCTACAATTGAAACCTAAATCAGTATGTTAAGATATTGACTAATAACCAAAAAGCAATTTTCAGCAGTGCTTTGAGTGGAACCCAGAGTTTTGTACATTCCTGACAAGTACTTTTCCACTAACTTTCAGTTCCAGACCAAGAATTTTGTTTTGAGACAGTTTCACTCTGTAATCCAAGCTGGCCTTAAATTCTTGATCCTCCTGCCTCAGCCTCCCAATTGCTGTGATTACAGTAGTACATAGTCTGTGCTTTATAACTTCCTGATTTATAGAATTAGCCCTTCAATAAGGAATATTGTATACATTTTTATTGTTTTGTTTTTTTTAAATAGTGTCTTGCTGTATAGCTCCTACTGGTTTCCAACAAATAATATACTTGTTTTTGTCTCTTAAGTGCTGGATTTATTGGCATGTATTCCAAACCCAGCCAAATTTTTTGCTTCTCTTTCTTAAAAAATAACTTTTTATTTTATGGTTTGCCTACATTGATGTTGTGCACCACGTATATGTCTGGTGCTCAAGGAGACCAGAAAGAGGGTGTTAGATCCCCAGGAACTGGAGTAGCAAATAGCTACCACCAGCTGAAAGAGTAGGTGGTGCTCTTAACTGCTGAGCCATCTCTCCAGCCTCGTTAAAAAAAATATGTGATACCTATTTTTGTTTTATGTCTGTGCTTTTCCTACATGTATGTCTTGTGTGCCATGTGCATGCAGTGCAGGAGGAAGCTGAAAGAGGGAGTGGAGTCCCTTGGAACTAGAGTTAAGGCTGGTTGTTAGCTGCCGTGTTGGTGCTAGGACTCAAATCTGAGTCCTGGGGAAGAACAAGACAGTACTCTTACTGCTGAGCTATCTCTCCAGCCTCCTTTCTGAGATGTGATGGATCTCATGTAGCTGAAGATGCCCTTGATGATCCACCTGCCTTCATTTTCCTGGTGCTGAGATTATAAGTATGCACCCTCATGCCTAGTTTATGTGGTAGTGAGGATGGAACCCAGTTCTTCACCCATGCTTGGCAGGTCCTCACTGAGCTAAATCCCAGTACTTGGGAGGCAGAGGTAGATGGTTCTCTGAGTTTCAGGCCAGACTTATCTACATAATGAGTTCCAAGCTAGCCAGGGCTACTTGGAAAGACCTTGCCTCAAAAATGAGTATTTTTTAAGGGAACAATTCCAAGGAAGGAAAAGGTTATTTCAGTTCACTCAGAATTGTGGTTCATGTTCCTAAGGATGTCCACAAGGCAGCATTCATCTCTGATTTGATCAATTAAAAAAGCCATCATATAGACTGGTATATCAATATTGAGCAAAACTAGGACCATGATTTTAAGAAACCAAAATTTAGGGCTAGATAACCTGGAGCTCACTGTGTAGACCAGACTAGCCTTAAACTTATAGAGATCTGCCTGTGTCAGTTTTCAGCCAGCACGCTGGTACTAAAGATGTGCACCACTATGCCTTACTGTCCTCTTTGAACAGTATGACAAAGTGTCTCACATCTAGTTGAAATAGTAAATGTTTTTCAGTAATAGCAACTTTAAAATATGAATGCATTCTATTCTGAATAACCTCTATTGAGTAACGTTCTAGTTTGAGTAACTATTTTTTAATATTTTGAAAAAAATTAACTTATGTTCGGTCTCGAGAATAAAAAATTTAGACACTCAAACAGTAATAATTTTTCCATATATCATCAATAGGAGAATAGTACTTTTAAAAACTCTGATTGTAGCCAGGCTTGGTGGCACACACCTTTAATCCCAGCACTCAGGAGGCAGAGGCGGGCTGATCTCTGTGAGTTTGAGGCCAGCCTGGTCTACAGAGTGAGTTCCAGGATAGGTTTCAAAGCTACACAGAGAAATCCTGTCTAGAAAAACAAACAAACAAAAAACCCTCTGATTGTAAAACGACTCTGCTGCCATTCAAGGTATTGTTAAAGGGCTAGAGGGATGGCTCAGCAGTTAAAAACACTGACTGCTCTTCCAGAGCACCCATGTTTAATACTCAACACCAATATATGTGGCAGCTTATATCCCTCTATTTCCAGTTCTGGGAGATCAGTTGCCCTCTTCTGGTCTCCCAGGGCACTGGGCACACAAGTGGTTCACAGGCATATATGCAGGTAAAACACTCATACACAAAAAGTAAATTTAAAAAACAAGATATTCTTGAATTGTGTTGATTTTAGGTTGTCTTTTTGTCGTTAGTCAGTTTTTCTCTAATTTTTTGAAACAGTGTCTCACTGCACATCCCTATTTAGCTTGGCACTTGCTGTGTAGATGAGACTGGCCTCAAACTCAGAGAACCATCTCCCTCTGCCTGTTGAGTACTGAGATTAAAAACAGGTACACTATGTCCGACTTGGTGGATGGTATTAATTGAGTTTTCTTTTTATGTTGTAGGTTGATCCAAATGAGATGCATTATCTAACACGAATTTACTACAAGGCCCAATCTGATGGTATCTGGGGTGAACATGAAATTGATTATATTTTGTTTCTGAGGAAGAATGTAACCTTGAATCCAGATCCCAATGAGATTAAAAGCTATCTCTATGTATCAAAGGAAGAACTCAAAGAAATTATGAAGAAAGCAGCCAGTGGTGAAATTAAGTTAACTCCATGGTTTAAAATTATTGTAGACACTTTTCTCTTTAAATGGTGGGATAACTTAAACCATTTGAGTCAGTTTGTTGACCATAAGAAAATACATAGAATGTGAATGTGTAACTGAATTGAAAATTTTTTCTACCTAGTAAGATGGTTTTTTTTGTTTCCTTTTGTTTTGAACTGGGCTCCCTTTTATGATACATGGGTATTTTACAACCAGAATTTGTTTGAGAAAAAAGCCCACTGACTTACAGTTTTGTATTATCTATCCCATGTGTATGCACTGATGTTTATAGAGGACATTTATGAGAGGTTATTGCAAAATTATGCCATAAATAAAACTTAATTTAGCCTGTCCAAATATATGACTGACACGATTGAAGAAATAAGTAGAACTCTTAATTTTTTTACATTTTGACAAACATTTTCAGAACACTTTGCTATTTGCCAAGTGTATTTTTATACCATTAAATTATATCATTGTAGACGAATTTCTAAGTGGTCTTATTAAATAAAGACAGAAAAATGAGCAAAAGAGACTACTTAGCTGCTTCAAAACAGCACTTATATATTTAACTGGTTAAGGCCAGGGATACAGCTCAGTGGTACCATGATTGCTTTGCAGGCATGAGATCATGGGTTGTTGAGTCCCTAATCCTTAAAATAATTATAACAATAATAACAGGCAGAGCAGGTTCAAGGGAGAGTAAATGGTATCCAATCACCCTCATAATTTCAGGACCCCCTTCATAATCAAATCTCTGGATGCTCAAGTCTTATACAAGATGACATTGTATTTGACTTACGCACATCGTTAACTCTTCACCTCATCTCTGGGTTGGTTGTAGCACTGAATACAATGTAAATGCTAACAAATGATTGTTTTACTATGCTTTGTGATAAGTAAAAGTCTACATGTCTGCATATTCAGTACAGATCAAATATTAATATGTGATTGGTTTGAAACCTTGGGTGGTTGGCCCACAGATTGGAAAGGCCAGTTCTGTATGCTAATTTTTTGTCACTTTTGGTTGATATTGTGCTTTAACCATTCTGAAATTATTTTACTACTTAAAGTTAACTATTACTTTTAGTGGTAATGGTAACTGCTTAACTTTTAAATAGTTACTTACCATTTACCAAAATCTATTCATAATTATAGTGGAAGAGATGTTAGTCATAAGGTGGGAGTGAGTTCTTTACAAGAGTTGAGAAAACTCTTACCACTACCAGCACTGGGCCTGGTTAATCTTGTTGTAGGTGTCTGACCTATGTTGGATGTTTAGTAGCATCTCTGCACCCTGTACACTCAATATCATTTAGCATTCCTTTGCTAAGACAACACCTCCCCAAAAAATGGGGGTGGGGTGGGTTTTCAGGCAGGGTTATTCTGTGTAGCCCTGGCTGTTCTAGAGCTTACTCTATAGACCAGAATAGCCTCGGAACTCAGGATCTTCCTGCCTCTTGTCTCCAAAGTGCATGAACCACCATGCCCAGCAACAACCAAAATTTTAATGGATAGTACCAAGTGCTGCATAGGGACAGAGACACCTCTAGTAGAAAATCACTCACTGTTCTGTAGTAAGGGCTTACTTTAGAGGTAGAAGCAGGAGGGAGTAGCAGTGAGGAAGTCAATGATCAATAGACTGATGTTATAGAATAGGCATATATTGAGATTGTGTCTTGATTAATGTACTTTTTAAAACTTGCCACAGGTGTGTCAAATTTGTGCTCTTAGACTTAAATGCTGTATAATGAATAATTTTTTTTCTTATAAAAATTTTATAGTTTAATTTCTTGATAATTCAGAATAGTTAATTTATCTGAAGATACAGTTATGTAGCAAGTATTTATTGAAAATTTAAAAAATAAATTATTTTAATATTATCTGGTTTGTTACTATCTGGATATAATAGGTTAGTCTGCATATTGTATTTTAAACATGATAAATCCTATATACCTTAAACTTATTTAAAATATTTCTAGTTTTAATTTCTACAAATTGGGGACTAACTACCTATAATTAGTTTCTCAGTAGCTTTATAGCTAATGGCTGTCATGATGAAGAGTGCAACCTAGGACTCTGTAAAGTCAAGTAAGTGTTAGATATTACTGTGTTGCTAGAATGTTGCTTAGGGTATGATGTGTATTAATATCTCGACCCAATAAACTCCTTGGCACCAACATCTTTTAAAATAAGGAATTGTGTCCCTCTCCTAAAATATAGCTACCTCTCTGACCCTTAAGGACTATAACTTAGACATGTTAGTTCTGAAGTTTTTAGTTGTTTAATGTGTTAGTGATGCTACCGGATGGGGTGGGAACAGTGGCTTTATGAATGGAAGAGACACATTAGCAGGACATGCCTAGAATGAGTCTTAGTGAAAGTTGTCTTTAATCCTTTGGAGATGCTGGTGCAATGAGATTCCCTAAGTTGGATCAGTCCCATATGTTGGACCCTTACCAGGAGCAAGAAATAGATCCCTTATGGAATGAGGTTTCTTGAATATCTTACAAAGATAAACTTTTTTTTAAGATTTGTATTTTTTAATCTTAAAGATGTACGTTTTACAGAGTGAATTTGAGCATGTTATACTTGTATATGCTTCCTGCCTTTACAGTTTTAATATGCATGTATGTGGTGTGTATGCATATATGTGCATGTGAAGACTAGAGGAGGGTGGTGGACACTTTCTCAGTTCACCTCAGGTTTTTAAGGCAGGTTTTCTCACTGAACCTAAAGATAGGCTGGCTGGCTAGTGAGCTCCTGCAATCCACCTATTCTTGTCCCTGGATGCTGGGGTTATTGGGACAAGTGATGTGCCTTTCTAAACTTTAAATTGTTCCCCAAGATTTTCTACCTCAAAGACATTAGCAAAAACATCTTAACCTAAATTTACTAGCAGTCTACATGTCAAAAATCTTTGTAAGGGTGGTGGTTGAATCATTAATCTGCTCCAGTAGCAATGCTTAGGAAAAGTCAATCACTATTATTGTAAGTACCAGTAACACTGCCCAGTGAGGGACTGACTAGAGGCCCCTTTAGAGTTTCCATTCAACCCATAGATTATGAGGGACATGTTGACCATGAGGACAATAAGCAAGGCTATGCTCAATAACAGCATTAGGTCCTCAGAGCACGTAGTCAAGTGTGGTTTTGCTGTCCATCCAGCCATGTTTCATGAGTTCCAAAGCTGTTTACTGGGTCCCCAACACCCTCCTCCCCCAAAAATAAAAATATTAATTAAAAAAAGAAAGCAAATAAAAAACCACTTTACTCCATCTTTTTCTCCATCCTGCCTCTCCATCACCTCTTCATTCATCTTAGTAGCATTGGGAACTATGGGGTGTGTCACACAATATATCCTTTTGTCCAAATAGCTTTATTTGCAAATGTTTACTGTAATGAGTTTTGTTGGTCTGGTTCGAGGCCTCTGGCTTCTGGTACACAATCAATGACTGGGCCCTCACCAGAACTCCTCTCAGATATCTTGTGTTGTCCTGAGTCATGGAGGTCCTGTGCTGTGGTATAATGCTCTTGTTTTTTTTTTTGTTTTGTTTTTGTTTTTGTTTTTTGGTTTTTTGGTTTTTTTCGAGACAGGGTTTCTCTGCATAGCTTTGCGCCTTTCCTGGAGCTCACTTGGTAGCCTAGGCTGGCCTCGAACTCACAGAGATCCGCCTGGCTCTGCCTCCCGAGTGCTGGGATTAAAGGCGTGCGCCACCATCGCCCGGCTTTTTGTTTTGTTTTGTTTTTTGTTTTTTTGTTTTTTTGTACTCTTGTAAACTATAAAGATTTGTCATTTGAATTGGTTTAATAAAATGTTGATTGGTCAGTAGCCAGGCAGGAAGTATAGGCTGGGCAAGCAGACAGGAGAATTCTGGGAAGATGAAGGGCAGAATCAGGAGTCACCAGCCAGATGTAGAGGAAGCAAGATGATAATGTTGGACTGAGAAAAGGTACCAAGCCACGTGGCTAAACATAGATAAGAATTATGGGTTAATTTAAGTGTAAGAGCTAGTTAGTAATAAGCCTATGTTACCAGTCGAGCATTTATAAATAATATTAAGCCTCCAAGTCAATTATCTGGGAAGTGACTGCTGGGTATTTGAGAGTTGCTGGCCAGACACAGGAATTGTCTACAGTCCTGTGGCTATGGTTCCACAGGACCAGCCTCTTCACATGCTCCAGCAGGTCATAGATAGGGTAGATGTTGGGGTATGCTAACTTAAAGCCCTAATAACTGAGTTGGTCAGTCTGGGCCTCCACTGGGACCACCCCCCTCACCGCCAGCTCTCCTGTCCCCACACCATTGGGGTCAGCTCTCCTGTTGCAGTGGCTAGCAAGGGGCAGGGCCAGATCTTGCAGATTCAGTGAAGGGTGGGGCCAACTCAGCATGGCCCTCAGATTTCAACATGAGTAGTCTGAATGGCCTCTGGTGGTAACACAGGTCATGGACATCAACACAGATCCTGGCTGCAGTAGGGTCATGGACCCACACATGGCCCTCAATAGCAGCTTTGGCCCAGATGTCACCATAGGCCCATGTGGTAGCACAGGCCACCTAGATCCTCATGGCCCCAGTGGCTGAATGGCCCTTGGACACCAAAATGGCCACAGGGGGTCACAGTAACAAGACATGGCCCTCGGCAGCAGCTCAAGGACATGGATGTCACCGTGACTTCTTTTTTCAATGTAGTCCTGGCTGTTCTAGAACTCACTGTGTAGACCAGGCTGGCCTCCAATTCACAAAGGTCCTCCTTCCTCTGCCTCCTAAGGGCTGGAATCACATACCCAGCAATCACTATCTTTAAGTAGGTAAGGTATTGTGAGTCTGTGAGTGTGTGTGTGTGTGTGTGTGTGTGTGTGTGTGTGTGTGTGTGTGTGTGTGTGTACCTACCTGTGTGTAGAAGTCAGAGGTTGATGTCAGGTATCTCTCATCTATCACGAGCCACCTTATTTGTTGAAACAAGGTTTCTCACTGAATCTAGAGCTTACCAGTTGGCTAGACTGGCTGGCCAGTAAGCTCTGCTTGTCTCCACACCCACACTCATACCCCTAGTGCTAGGGTTACAGTTGTGCACCACCACTCCTGGCTTTTACCTGGGTGCTGGCTATCCAAAGTCAGGTCCTTGTGTTTACATAACAGGCACTTTACCCACTGAGCCATCTGCTGGTCCCTTCTGCCTTTCATGGAGCTCTTACTAGCCTAGAATATCCCAGCTGAACTGCTACAATGAGTAAATCCTTCTTGATGTTCCATGTGATATATTGCTGTCATGAAATGAAAAGAACAAATGTGGTAAACACAACAATGTGACAGACCACTCTAGAGTAGAAGCCAGACACAAAAAGTATATATTATCACGAGTCTAATGACACGAAGTTGAAGTTTAATGACAGGTACAGCCAATTGAAGATGGAGGCCAGAATAGGTGAATGTATATGTCAGAATAATTGAAGCATAAGATTTGTTCACTGTGTGTGATGACTCAATAAAAGAACGTAGAATCAATCCCAAGCTGGTCAATGGTAGCCAATCGCCAGCAGATTTCTGAGCCTCTCTGCCCACTGGTCAGTTGATGGAGCAACACTTCACTAATGTGAAAAAGACAGCAACTGTGGGTATCACTGCCTATAGCCAGTGAGGCTTGCCTAGCAACTGACCAGGATGTTGGCCTGTACACATCTCTCTCATGTAAAATAACACCTCCCACCCTTGTAAGATACAGTCACTTCATTTGGCCAGGTAATGTATGATATATACACATAGTCCCTAGTGTGTTCTATTTATGAAGAACAAAGGAGTACACAGTCTGAAGCAGAAAGAGGTGTGTCCACTTAAGGTAACAAGTACAGCACTGGAGGGACTCTTTACCTCTTGGTTTCAAGGGTTAAACATTTGTATCTAGAATATGCATTTTCACACATGTGGAATATGCATTCTCTTAGTCTGCGCCTGGTTGAATTTGACTTAAGACTTAAATTCTTAGCCTCAATGTCATCGCGAACAATCCATCTGGACTGACAAATTGAAATTATCAAAGCAACGTGAGTGGCTCTGTCTCCATAAAGTAGAATTCAGTGTGACTGTTGATCAAATGAATAAATGAATGAATGAATGAAATTTGAGTGACTACCTAAAGGTGTCTTGTGGCTTCACCTCTTGCATACAGCAAACCATAAGCATACAGGCTGTTTGTGCATCACTTAGGTAATAATATGCCAAGAGTTCTAAAATGATTTCTGTGGTTGTGATAAAGCAACTCTGACTGAAAGGAAAGGGTTTATTTCATCTTAAGAGATCACAGTCTGTCATTGAGGGAAGCCAAGACAGGAGCTTGAAGCAGAAACCGTGGAGGAATGCTGCTTACTGGACTGCTCCCTAGGTCATGTTTAGCTGTTTTGTAAAACTCAGGTCCACATGCATAGAGATGGTACTGCCCACAGTGGGCTGAACCCTCCTGTACCAGGCAACAAGATATAATCCCTCTGGCCTAGAATATACTTCAGATATTGAATAGCTCTAAAAACCATTGGACCAAATTCCAGAGATAACATCTAGGCTGACTTTTTCCTAATTAAAGGAAAAGAACAGGGAGACTGAGAAATGGAATTTGCTTTTTGAAAGATAAGAATAGGGAAGTAAAGACCATGAGTCCTGTTGAGAGTGCTGGCTTGTGTTGAAATCCCAGTCTTAGATTCTAGAGTAACAAGAATATGCTGATTCTCATTCGAAAAGAGGTCCAGCCTGGAACTGTCTCAAAAAAAAAAAAAAAAAAGAAAAAGAAAAAGAACAACATACCACAGACTCCAAGTTACCTCAAGTTCTTTTCTCATACATGATGTTTGGCTGAGACTTCCAGCTCTTGCAAAAGCCCTCACTTCTCTTTCTCTCTCCAAGCCTCACCCTCAGAGAATTTCCAACAAAGAAAAGCCGCCTAAAGCCCAGCTGTGCCTGGCAGCTCCTCCCTGAATCTGCTAGCTGCTTAAGACCCCGCCTAAAAGCGTACCATACTTGGGTACAAACCCAGCCTGTGGCTGACTCATCACCATGCATTGGCTACAGGGTATAAGCCGCCTCCTTTAGGCAGGCCGTGTGATTTTTCTCCTGCCTCCTTCCCCTGCCAGGATCTCTGGGGGCTGGAGGGTCACCCAAGAGTACTTTGCCCAAATAAACCTGGTCTTTTACTTTTTAATT